AGCCATCTTTTCTTTCTTTCTTTCTTTCTTGCTTGCTTGCTTGCTTGCTTGCTTTCTTGCTTTCTTTTGTAGAGGCAGAGTCTCACTCTATCGCCCTTGGTAGAGTGCTGTAGCATCACAGCTCACAGCAACCTCTGGCTCTTGGGCTTAGGCAATTCTCTTGCTTTAGCCTCCCAAGTAGCTGGGACTACAGGTACCTGCCACAGTGCCCGGCTATTTTTTTGTTGCAGTTTGGCCATGACTGGGTTTGAACCCACTACCCTCATTATATGGTGCCAGTGCCTGCTCATTGAGCCACAGGCACCACCCAAATAATTTCTTTTCTTAAGGGATCCTCTTATCCTTGCAACTCTCCACCCCTACCACAATAGCTTCATTCTTTGGCTCTATTTCATAGAGTTTACTACTTCAATTTAATTTATTTTATTATTATTTTTTATTATTTTGTAGTTTTGTGCTGGGGCTGGGTTTGAACCAGCCACCTCTGGTATATGGGGCTAGCGTCCTACTCCTTTGATCCACAGGCACCGCCCTACTACCTCAATTTAAATAGGACTAATGGAGGTAGGCTGGCTTGCAAATGTTAGGGAGATACTTCAGATTTGACACAAATGTAAGAGGGCCGGGAAGTCTGTTTATATAAGAAGAATTGAGTTGATTTCAGTCTTCTAAAGGAACTCAGAATCCAGGAGTCATGTAGAAATAGCAGCCTCTGTAAGACGATGACATGAACTCTGATATCATTACAGAAGCTATCCATGTACTTTAGTCTTTCTACAACGTATAGTTAAATCAAGTTTATGCTTCGAACCATGGGAAATGTTACATTATATGAGACAGAATCTCTTTCAGAGGTACATTGCTTTATTGGAGGTGTATGAATGAGTGTCCTGTTCTTAGTATTAGTAACTACCACAAATAAACAAGCTGTCTCCAGCATCTTGCTTGTACATCTCACCTAATTTCAACCACATAATTTCTTTGAGTATATATAATAATAGTTCACAGAACCCAGCTCTTTATTTTATAGATGAAAAAATTGAGACCAGGGTAAGGTTAAAGGATAATAATAATGAAAAGTAATTTTGTATAGAATTTTGCAGTTTACAAATCTCTTCACTACTTGCAGGGTCATTGAAATTTCCAAAATAAGCAGAAATGTTTGCACAAACTAATCTCTAGCAAGTATCAAACATGATACTTTCAAGCTCCCTCCTTAAGGATATTCCAAGAATTAAATGAATATCATACCTCAAAGAAGGCTCAAAGGAGGCTTGGCGCCTGTGGCTCAAGTGGCTCAAGCCACATACACCCTAGCTGGTGGGTTCGAACCGAGCC